ACGATTAAAGAGCAGGGATTTTGAAGGAAACTGCAATGACTTGAGGGCACTGTGCATGCATTCATCTATAGAACCTGAAGTACTCGTATACAGTAAACCCTCGTTATAACGGGCTGGGAAGCCGCCGAAGTCGTCTGTAACCGAGTGAAGGGGTGTTATCGGAAGCACACTATACGATACATAACCAATAGACGCAATAAATATAATACATGAAGGTTTTGATACTGGGATCTTTTTTTATGTTAAACTGGATTTTTAACTACAAAAGCTTCTTAGTGCCTCAACATCTCTAAAAATTCACAAGTGTGCATAGCCAGATTTTGTCCCTTATAATGTGGGTTGCCTGTACCTCCAATTTGGTCACGATTTCTTCCCTTCGCGTCCTTTCAAATTCAATTCACTTGCAATCATATTATCCAGTGCTATAACAAACTTCGCAATTTAAAGACCTACAAACAGCCACCTCTTATTAAATCGGTTTTGTCTGTGGTGTGTATATATATATATATATAATTCCTNCGCCAGCCGCGCTTTACTTCCCAGGAAAATTATTTAATTTATTCCTGGTACTCATTTCTGTTAGAGGCTGAGTAAACCCCAGGGCCTCGTGCGGCTGGAAGGATTAGGTTAACTGAAAAAAATCCAATGACCTCATCGGGACTTGAACCCGCGACCTTCCGGCTTGTAGAATAGCTACCGCGTGCCCAAATGTAATACTGTACTTCTAAAATATTCTGACGATTGTGTGGACTTTGTCCATTGCCTAGTATTCTATAGAACACAACACAAACTCAGGTTAGAAAGGATAGATGTACCTACCCTGTTGGACCCGCTTGAAATCGCAAACCTCAGGTCCCGCGATTGAAGGTATGTATTTCTAACGGAGACAACGGGGAAAGTGCCTCCCGAACCTTTCACCTGATAACGGTAACAGATTCAGTTTCATAAACGCTGTGTTTAGAATATCGGACGATGGACAAAGTTCACGAGGTCAGCAATCACGTTAAAACTGAGGGCGTTATTTATTTAATTACCTACTTACTTATTTACCTGTACTTTTCGAAAGCTGTGCTAAGACATCCGTCGAAGTAACCAGGCAGGAACTACTATAAACGGAACATCGGCGCCGCCACGTTGGAACGCAGAAATTTCCCTTGACTTGAACTTAAAAATTCCCATCTATATGGAAATTTTGAGCAGAAGCAATGCAAGTAATCAAAAAGCACGAAATAAATTGGCATGTAGTAGAAATATAAAGCACACAAAGAATTAAAATCAAGTAGCCAGTCATAAAAAAGTAAAGGTCATTAAATGTGACGCCGTGTAGTCTGGTATGTTTGCTAAGGCTGCAGCTCAACCGGGGCGGTCCACAGTATCCCCGTGGTTCTTTCTTGAGCGTGGGGAAACCACCCTGACACTTCGTTTAAAGACACTGACGTGCAATAAATTATATTGTTACGAATATGACAATTGCTAGGCAACGGTTAGGTAAGCACCGCCTTAGAGCCGGAATAGTGGAGCCAGGGCTCCGTTGCTGAGCAACGAACGAGTCCATTTGCTAGGCAACGGTTCGGTAAGCACGTTCCCGTGACGGCAGAATGACAACTAACTGTACTGTTCGAGGTGGTGGTCGCTATTCGGTTTTCTCGAAGTTATAAAAAGGAGGACACGTGAGGACGCTCAGAAAAAGACAGAGAGAGAGAGGAGAGGAGAGTTCGCTCGTAGGTGAGTCGTCATTCTTCATTCAATTCAGTCGGAAGGAATTCTTCGTTCGTCATTCGATACAGTGGAAGAGAAGACACTCGTAGTCCAGTAAAGAAGGGAGCGAATCTTAGGCAGTCATGGATTGTGTGCGGTTATAATTATAGTTGCAATGGAAGTGCCAATAAATCCAATAACCTGATCCAGGATCCATTATTACTCGTCACGGAACCCCGGACACGTGACACTATCTTTGCTGGATTTGAGGATCCCGCAACAACTGCTATGAAGAGTCCTATCTTCTGACATATAACTGGGTGTGGTCCGATGAAATTCAACAGACGTTTCAGAGGAACATCGCTTCCATCTTTCTTTCTACTTGCTTCATGCCGATTTCTTGTTCGACTATGAAGATGAATGCAATGTTACGTCGAAACGGCGGCTGGCTTTCACTGGACTACATTGTGTTATATCCCAGAAGATAGAAGCGCCATCCCCTTTAACCATGAGCGTCTCATGTGATGTCTGTCGTTCATTTCTGCGTCGAAGATATAAAACCGTAGTTAGTTAACGGGAACGGCGTCGTATCATGGTTTACGTTCATTCCGTTCGAGTTTGAACTGCAAGCTCGACCACCCAGGCATTTCCATTATTAAGTCTACACCGTTGACAATTACCAGTATAGCACCTCAGCAGACTATGCAACGTCGAATGATAGATTAGTAAACAATAAGTTCTGGGAAGAACTAACTGCACACTTGCCTGTGATACAACACGGATCGCATGTAAAACGACACCTCCAACAATTATTCGTTGCCGCGAAAACGTGTTTACCGAGTTTTTACCTAGCAACGATAGGAAAATACGCAGGACAAATGTATCAAACATTTCTTCTATTGTTGCGTGTGTTCGTTGCAACAGGAACGAGTTTACCGAGCCGTTGCCTAGCAACTAAAGGAATACAATTTACCAAACCGTTGCCTAGCAATGAGAGGAGCGATACAGGCACACGGACTGATGGAATTTATGAAGTACGCCATTGGGATGGGCTCAGGTGCTATGATATATGTATCAAGTTTCACAGAAATTTGTTGAGGCATTAAAATTTCATGGGGTGGGGGAATCAGAGACACATCATGGAGATCCCAAAATAAGGAAAGTAGGCTAAAAATTAATTGGAAAATATGTGGAAGGTAGTAGCTGTGGCAAGGTTACTTACTGTCTGTTAAGCAACATAAATTATATTTAAATCTTTACTGAATACAAATAATACTATAATGTATTATATAAATTAGTATTATCTACATGACAATGAAATTTATTAATAAAATATACACATAAAAGAGTAGCTGCTATTTACCCTGATAGATTGTTCCTCACAGCATAGAATTCAGATATAACTGAACACATTTTCTTTTTCAGTTTGACTTGAGGGTTATTTCCACATCAGATCAACACAGAAAATGATATGACTACCTTGGTTTTCAATGAAACCCTGTAAGCCTATTGGGTCTAACGAGTAAGTGATAAAAATGAGTTTTTTCCTTCCAGTGTTAATTAATTTCCAAGTTATTGAACTTTGAAGTTTTAAGTTTCCCTTGACTGTTCCTGGGCTCTGATTCACTTAAATACTTATAATTCTGGTCCTGATGAAGACCGAGAGACCATTATTGAACTAAATGAAAAGTCTTCACTGGGGATTTCATTTGGTATGCCACCCATATTTTATGGCACATTAATATTTTTGCCGTGACCTTTGACCTTAGTTTATGGAAAATATATTGCCAAATTTCTGCAATGAGTCCATTTTTGGAAAACTTCATGTTGGGACATGAATGGGTTGATGAGATACATATATTTGTATATGAGTTACATGCATTTTGTTACAACTGGATTTACAAAATTCCTTTTAAGACACTAATGTCTTGACAGCCTCTCAACTCTTGTTCCATTTTCCTAACTGACCAGCTGTTGAGAAGAACCATCAAAATCTGAACCACTTCACCCTTTTTTTCCTGTTATGTGAAAATTTTCTTCAGTTGCACCACCATGTCACTGTCACCTGTTGCCGCCACTGAAGTCTTCTCGATACTCCCCTGTGGCAGCTTTCTAGTGGTGACTATGCTAATGACCCAGTAGGGTTCCCAGATACCCCGTTTTCCCTGGATTCTTCCATGTTTTCACCCAAATTTTGTTCCTCCAGTTATTGTTTACCCAGAGTGGATAATTCTCCGTTTTTTTTATTTAAGTCAATTGCGAATTATATTTCATGGGTTAAATATTACCATAAAATTTCTGTAATCCTTGGAAAATGACATTCTTATAGTTTCTTTTGTTGTTGCATTTCGTGAATGTTGGCAACACGTGAGGTTCTAAACCAAAGCAGAGGTTGTTGGTGATAGTGTATTTTTAATCCGTTCAATCTTCGCTAGAAAGTCAGTGTCAAGTTAGCAAAAATGTTTGAGGGCGAAGAAGATCCATCAAAGACTCCTCCATGGAAGAAGTTGAAATTCCAGGCCAAACATAATCAAATATATCTTAAGAAATGGGAAGATACATGTTTTCGTGGGTTAAGCCGGGACCAGACGAGAACCAGGCGTTTTGTACGTTGTGTAGGAAGGATTTTAGTATTTTGCACGGTGGACAAAGTGACCTGAGACAACATGCACAATACAAGGGACATAAAATGAAAGAAAAATGTAATTCTGAAAGTTCAAATAAACTTTCGAAATACTTTGTTAATTTAAACAATTTGTTCTATAAATGTGTAGTAGGCCTATGTAATACAGATGTGTAGTAGAATTTTGTAAGTTATGTAGTATGTTGATTATGTATATTTTATAGCCTATTAGTTGTAAAAAAATGTCATTATAAAGAAGCAACAAGACATCACTCCTTTTTTTATTTTACAAAATCTGGCAACCCTATGACCCAGAGATCCTTCAATTGCACCACCATGTCACTGTCACCTGTTGCTGCCACTGAAGTCTTCTCGATACTTCCCTGTGACAGCTTTCTAGTGGTGACTATGCTAATGACCCAGAGACTTGTTCAAGAAGAAACAGAGTGATTCTGCTCAATTTTAGAATTCCTGAAGTTCAAGTCCTCCTTTTTGATATATGAGCTTGAAAAGAGAACTGCTTTTCTTTTTTTTTTTCCAAAATTTTGGGAAAAAATTGCAAAAAATTTCCACATTTTTCACAGACTTTTGTCCTTCCTGAATACTGGGAATATTTTATATCATCCAGTGTAATAGAGAGTACTTACTGTCTTCTGGCATATAACGCAGTGTAGTCCCTTGAAAATCAACCTGCCTCCATGTTCAGGGTCAAATAAGCCAAACATATCAGCGTGAAGGCAGATGGCAACCAGGTATCTTGCTTGGCTTATTCGACCCTGAAGACGAAGATGATATATCCCTCCGAAACGACAGTTGACTTCCAATAGAATTCACAGAATTATATACCAGAAGATATCCCACACAGTCTAATATAGGTCTCAGGTTTCCTTAGGAACTGGCACTGTCACCAGTTTTCAGGATGTTGCAACAGTGGTTTAAAACATCAAGGTTTTTGACACTTGCACCTGCAGAAATATTAGATATGAATTAATTTTGCACTTGGGTAACCACTGCAGAATTTGACAGACAAGGAAATACAACTTAGTTCTACTGGCATCAGGTATGAAGACTGGAAGAGTTTTGATGCCCTGCTGCATATCTGTACAGGTCACATCACCACCTATCATACCTAATCAGACCAGTAACATGCTGAAAATCACATCTTCTCTTCACTTTCATGTCCCAACACGATGTTTTCCAAAGATGTATTGAAATGATCAATTTTTATGTAAGTCTGGCTATAGGTATTTTCATAAACTATGGTCAAAGTCAAGGGTGAAAATCTTGATGTGTCTTAAAATACTGTGAGTGACATGCCGACTGAAAGCCCCATTTAAGAGCTTTCTCTTAACATAAAAATGAATTATCTATCGTAATTAGGTTCAGAGTTATAAGCATTTTTGTGAACAAGAACAAAGGAAAATTTAAGAATTGAAAAAATGCTGCATATCTGCAACTAACGGATACTGGAAAGTAAAATTTCATATATGTCACTTCTTAAGGATAACCAGCAAGACTGCAAAATTTATTAGAATTAGAAAGGGTCATGGAAGTTGATTTGACATGGTGTGAAATTCAGATTTAACAGTTTCCATATAATATCTGAGGTGATTACAGCAATAAATATAAAGATACAACTTCAGGAATGTGTGTGATGTAGTTTAATAGCTAAGTACAGTGTATCTCAAACATTTGTAAGCATGTAGTTCATCATCAAATAATGACAAAGAATGATACATCATCATTAGAAAGTTACTAGATTTTATTTTCAACATCAAGACCAAAATCATCACACACAAGAGATCTCAGTGAACACACAGGACCTTTCTTCCATAAGTTTTGCATGCTCAAGTTATGAAATGCCCACCAAGAGGTTTCAAACAAAGTTTACGAACATTTTGGAGGAACCTTCTGCTTCTTATCACCTAGACAGCATGACATCACATCCCACTATGCTGTAAACACAGATGAATCCAGTCCAAATTCTCACACCTTTTTTCTTAGAGAAGATAAATATTATCTTGTTATCTGTACCTAGGATCCCCAAGTGGTCTCTTTTTGGTTTTCTGGCTTAAATTTTTAATGAAATTCTAATCTCTCTCTGCCCTGCTCATCTCACCATTGAAACTCAAATATAGGTTAAAGAAAAAGCATAGACTTAAATAACTGAAAAAGTACTGGTTAATTTGATAGTGCAAGCAGTACTAAAAATTCTCTTCTTTAAACTGCATGGTTGAACCGTGGCTCACACTGTGCTATTGAGGAAGGAAGAAAAGTTTTAAAAAATCTGTTATGAAACAAATACCCTTATTATAATCTTAATTTTAGTTCTATTTTATCAACAACTCAGGTAAATAGACTCAAGCAGCATTTAAGATCACTACTGCATAAGGCTTCATGACAATCCTAAATAAAACAGTTTCCTCCTTAATTGCATAATGTTTGTCTTGAAGTAAAATCCTCTGGGAACAATACGAGAACTGTTGGGTCATAAAGATATAATGAATCATCATTACTCTTTCCAGTGCTACACATACTGAGACCTGTTACATATTACAACATGGAATCCTTCCACTATTTCAGAAGTCTTCCCAACGTTCTTTTCCCTTCTGGTTAACATTATACAATGACGATGAGTGCATGTGATATTTGAGGTTTTTGTGGCAATGACTTTGAAGGTTACTACCTCTTGGATTACATTCCAGAATACACTAACTAGTTTTCATGAAAATATAATTTCAAAACTAGGTGTTTATTTTATATATATCACACTAGGCAGTTTTCATATGACATTTCTACACAGTCAGAATTATTAATATTGATATATAAAATACTTTATATAAGTCTATAACTTACACATAAATTTCCATGTTTTCCACAGTTACGCAGTAACAAGTGATATTTGCATAGGCAAGCATTGATGAAGGTTGCAATATGCAGAATGCAACCTGGATACAAAAAATACTCCGTGGACTGAAATCGTGTCAGTAAAAATATTATATGCATATCTATTTAAGTCTAAGCACAATATATATAATACCAGATTAATAATAATATGAAAATATGTTCATATTTTATGCTAATATCTAAAGTTTATAATGGAAATATCATGCTGGTAAAGCACCATACATACTTAACCTCAGCACCAGCTTTGCGTGATTGCTTCATGCTCTTCTGTACATGGTGACAGGCTTCCAGTTCATTGTGAATCGGGCTACTCACTGACCCCAATGGTCATAAAATATGTTTAACATACATACTTATTCATGCTGGGATAGCACAGTTAGTATAGCCACTGGCTACATGCTGGATAACTGAGAGGTCAGGGTTTGAGTCCCTATAGAGTCAAAAATGTTCTCTTCTCCATGTCATCCGGACTGGTTCTGGAACCCACCCAGCCTCCTATTTTTCCACGGGGGTAAAGCGGCCGGAGCATGAAGCTGACCACTCACCTCCAACTAGTGCCAGCATCAAGAAAACATGTATTTATACATCGCCTCCCCATACGTCTTCATGCACAGGGACTTTACCTTTTTTTTTTTTTTACCTTTTCTTATTCATACTTGTGAGAGATGAAATTTCAGCCCATAGGTGCTGACAGGGGAAGGGGGAAAGCTAGGCATTTGAACCAGAGAAAATCAAAATTGGAAAAAAAGAAGGAACTATACTAAATCTTAATAAAAAAAATCAAATTATTTTAAATGTGACACCACTTGAATATGAAGACACAGTTCCAGGACGATGTGTAATAATAATAATAATAATAATAATAATAATAATAATAATAATAATAATAATAATAATAATAATAACAACAACAACATAATCATAATGTGTATGTATTAACAGTCTTCAAGTGCATACAATATCATGTACCATTTCTACACTACATGTTTCGGCAGTATGCTGCCATCTTCAGGTGTATCGATCCATCAACCATTTCACTGCTTGCCTTTATATGTTAAACTTGTTAAAACCTATTATCTCATACGTCATATTTTAAATTCGTGTATGTTACTGATCATCCACATGAGGGTTGTTCTTCTTATGTTTCTAATGTTGTGTGTATATTATGTCTTGTGATGTGTTCTACTGTTGTGGCTGCGTGCATTGTATCGTTGGATGTATACAACGATACAATGCACAAACATGTGAACGTGATATTTCATAATTAAAATTAATTAACATCCCAATATTTTCCTTGTCGTCATTCATTCATTTTAAAGATATTTTTCCTGAGTACTTGTATTTCTCATCGTTGAATTTATTCACGCAGCATTCCCTTTGAGGCGTGTGTAATATATATGTTATTTGTGCAGTTCATAAGGATGTCGCTGTAGTGTTATCATAAGTTTTATTATGTATGCACCAATGGCTTTAGGTTCTTCCACACTGCCAGAGTAGTTAGGTTGTTAACTGGTCTGTGTACATGGTAAATATCTACATACATAGACCAATTAACAACACAACATGACTAGATAATAAGTTGCATTTAAGATGGTTATGTAGAAATGAATTACTTTTTAATATAAACAACATGTCCAAGACTGCTTATATGAGAGACTGCCATTGGACATGATCCTGAGCCGGTTCCATTGACCAGCCACCCTTACAGCCTAACTTCATGATATCCATTTCCTTAACCATCCAAGCGGTCATTTTCCGTATCAGAGCCTGTATGCATTTCATGCCTCCTGCATACAAGATTTGTGGAAAGGTACAACATTTTAAATTTCATCATAAATAAAATAAATAACTTTGCAATCAGTCGCAATAAATATGACTCTCATACCTATGAATTACTGAATTACATGACAGACATGTGAATGTTTGTACCATTTGTTGCCTTTAAGCTGTTTGGTGGTGCTAGTTGACTGACTTACCGATTGATTGATTGATTCCTGAGATATTTAGTGCTTTTACAGCTGCAGGCATTATACAGTATCAAATGATTTGATGACTCTGAATGGTGATTTAAAAAGAACATTGAAGCAGCCATAGCTTATCTGGATACTTTGCAGAATTTATTTGATCTCAGGATGTCCTGAATTAAAATTATGAGTGTTAACCAGTCAGCTGTGATATCAGTCATACCTCTTTGCACAGAATCTGTGAGCCACAGAGAAGTCTATGTATTGTGGATACTGACATTCAGTATAAGCGTAGAAGCTACACAGTCCATAAATATTCCTCCTGAAAATTCAATCCATTTTGGTGAAGGAGAAAACACAAATGTAGTTATGACATTATCATCAGAGAGCAGCACATGTTTACACTTGTATTTGTTGAGGTCATCAAAAGGACCTTCTAAGTTTAGCCTATAAAAGACAGCCCCGTTTTTAATTAGAATTGACATAACAAACATCTTACTTAGGGCAAATATTACAGTGTTAGATGTGTACATGATATTCAGATTTATAACTGTGCCTTCATGTACATTACATGCAACATGTTCATGTGTTACGTGAGTTCTGAAGTCTTCGCGTACGCCAGTCCAGAGACATGTGACCCCCGTACTGTCAAACAGTGGGCACCTTACTGGTCTGTATTCACATACCTCCTCATGTTGGATCTGTGGTAAAGTCAAGATGGAAGCACAACCAAAATTCCTGTATTGGCACGGGTACTCAGCACTTCTGACTATTGTCTCTAAAGCAAAATTTCTTCCACTTGTGGCTAAGCTCAAACATGTTGCACACATTTTGCAATCCTTACATGTACTGTGTCCATTAACACAGAAATATATTGGTGAGAAATAATACTTTAGGCAGAATTTACACTTGATTTCTCTTAGGATGAGTCTACTCACTTCTTCAGCAAACACAAGTTTGGTTCGATTTTCATCAAGGAGGTCATATGGTGATCGATGCTTACCAGGCTGTGTTATGGCACTCTGTAGCAACTTTATCTTATCAGTAATTGCTTCAAGAGCCAGGTTGTTTGTAATAAATTTTTCCTTACATACTGGACACTTTGAGATACATTTTTTGCAGTTATGACAAAGGTTATGGCCACTTCTGCACAGTATAATTGGACGAGACATGTGCTCATAACACACTGGACATTCTATTTCATTTAATATGACCTGTTCCATCCTTGCCATCCTGGTCATCATCCTTACATCAGCAACTGAATCATAACATCTGAAAACAAAATCATACTGTCATGATAAACATTGCAGTGCAGATTTAAGTTTTGAGGTCTTCATGATGGTGAAAACTGATATTATGTGGTCTTCTGTGTTATGACAGCTTGTAGTTTGACAGGTGGGCACCAATGATTCAGTGAAGCATGTCTGTGTTTGTCACTTATGGTTCCATCCAAACCTGACTAACTTATGGAAAATAGCATTGAAATTTACTACCTTTCATGACTACAGTAGCAACATATTAAATACTCCATTTTGTTACTTCTACAACCATGTTAAGCTTGTTTTTGTTTTTGACCCTCTGTCTGCTGGGCAGACCACATATCTAATATCAAATCAATGGATGCACAGTGAATGTGAAAGCAATATTTCTGTTCATGAATTTTAAGGAACAATCAAAGATACAAAGCAGAGTATGATGAACTGAACAGCAGGAGAATGCACCATACTGTGGGTTTCTTATTATTGATCTGTCAGTCACAAAGAAATGGTAGGAAGGGTGTTTAGCATTTACAGAACATGCAAAATGCAGGTAGCTGGAGTGATATTCATTTGTATAGATTGCCACAAAAATATCAGTGACTTTGTTGAAACCTGTGTTAACATGTGTGTGTGTGTGTGTGTGTGACATGTCCGAAAATTGATTGTGCCATTATGCAATTCTTCATATGAGCTGGTCCAAAATGAACTTTGTCAACTTTTGCCATGAGAACCTGAGATCCATAATTTTGCTTGCCTTTTCTCTACGGTCGACAACAAGATAATTTCTAGCCTCGGTTTATATTACAAAGATATAGTGAAAAGTCCAGTTGTCTCTGTAAATAGGTTGAGTAGTTCTGCTTGCTGTCAGTTTCTTGCTCACCTTACCCTTCAACCCTCATGATGAATGTGATACGTTCCTCTGAAACGTCTGTTGGCTTCTACCAAACTACATGATGTTACAATCCAGAAGATCTTATTCTCCATTTAATATTATCCTGCCATTTAGAACTAGGTCTTCTCTGTGGTCTTATCTGTTTGGGCTCCTTTCACACTGTTATTTTATTTTAATATGACCACATCGTTTTGGACTTCATGTAGAGAGAACATGAAGAGATTTATACACTTGCGTTATACAGAGAGGATATTTACTTTGTTGTCCGGTTACACCGCTCTGCGCTTCACGGCGACCGGTGCACCGTCGGCTGCGAAGCACATACGAATTTTTCGCCAATATTTCTAGGAGATATGAGTTTTTCACATCCTTGGCTGTGACAAGTACTTTCTGGGGCGTGGCCTGATGTAACCTGGTAGATTCTGGTCAGGACTGCCTCACAAATTAGGCGGCTGTGATGGATGAATACAGAATAATTGTGGAATGATGATTAGTAAGAGAACCCCGAAGAGGGGGACAAAGAAGAAACCCGCTACAGTGACATTTCGGTTACCACGAATCTTCAAGGACTGAACCCGAGGCTCCGCAGAAAATAGTAGCAGCCCAATGTGAAAGTTCTTTATACAACATATTCCAAAATGTTCAGTTTAATAAATGAGTTGGAATAGCTCAATCGGTATAGCGACAGGCTTCGGGCTACACGGCCGTCGGGTCAGAGATGGCGGTAAGGTTGTCAGCCCTACGCGCCGGCCGCCCTTTATCCCCAAGAATATTCCTGGTACTAATTTGTTAGAGGCTGAGTGGACCCCAGGGCCATAGTGCGGTTGGAAGGATTAGGTAAATTGAAAAAAAAAAATCCAGTGACATCGGGATTCGATCCCGCGACCTTCCGGCTTGTAGCATACTGCCCCAACCAACTACGCTTGCCCCCATTATGATTATATTTAAAATTCATAAAACATCATCTGTTGCTACATGTTTCGGCCTCAGGGAACCATCATCAGGTAACTGTTAATTGATGGAAATCACGACACGTCAATATATTTGAATGACGTCGTATTCGAGAATGCANATGGCGCCTCAAACTCCTGAGGTCGAGGTTGGAATGATGCGCTGCCTGGGCAGTGCCAGATTAGCATGGAGCACTACTGAAAAAACGATTGCCAGCGGCAACACGAAGAAAGTTGACCGAAATGCGTTCCACTGCAATTTCGTCCTTCAAGGATCTCACACCAGTTACGTACTTTCACATACTTTCTGAAATTAAAACCTACCTCGCTCCGTGTTCACATTTTTCAGCTGAGAGCACATTTGGCACTGCGTTACACACAATATTATTGGAACGTACTCCACACTTCTGCGTCTCTTCTCGTTATAACTCAACTGCTCGTCTGTTTATGGAGGCAAGCAGAACATGCGAGGGGGGACATTCGCGCCTGCGTACTGCAAACATGTAAGAGCCGGGAAGCTCATTACTTCTCCGCTGCACAACCCAACCGGTTAATGCGGTTTGGGGAAACAGTCGCTGCATATTGTGAGAACCACAATATATATAAACTCAGTTCGTGCCTCAAAGTAAGCACATCATGTCTCCACTACAAAGCGGGGTGAGAACTAGAGTCAGAATGACTGGCAACTGCAACGCAACAGCAATTTCCGAGAAATGTTGCCAATTTCAAGCAGGCAACTTGTTTCCGGACTAGTAGGCGCACAGTGAGGAAACTTATGTTTGTGTAGTTAGTCACATCATCTTAAATGGGTACGTTGGGTCCGACGTAACGCATTATTTTTTTTTTTATTTCGTGCACTTCTGCAGTGGAAAATAATAATACTGATCATGTCATAATTTGGTGGTAGTTGAGACCGGTCGAGACGGCGTGAGAAGAGCGGACGACGACCGTAAGGAAAATGTTGGGATATTAATTAATTTGTTTGAATCAAGGTCGATTTTATAACCAGGAAATATCGCGTTCACACGCGATACGAATTTTTGACATACATTGTAACAATTTTAGCAAGATAGAAGACACCTGATGATGGTCGTATACAGCTGAACCATATAATGTGGAAAAAGGGTGACTATGTAATACGTTGCATTTAAAACAGAAATATATGTGAAATAAATGATATATTAATGCAACAGGATGCTTAAATACAATATTAGGAAAAGAATACATTGGGTGCATCCGTTCTTCTGTGACAATTTAAACTGAGGTGCTTATATTGTTTCTAAAGACTCCATCTCATGAGAAATTCTTTCCCAAGCCGAATCTATTTTTTCCTGCCTAGCATAGACTGGGTGGCATTTGTCATATTTGTCATATATTTGTCATATTTTGTCTTGCTCAGTTAACTACACAAAAGATAGCAGCTTCGTCAACCTTTCGTAAAGGTAAAGTTATTCCTGTACTTAACTACGTAAGCACTGCGCCATGAAGGTGTATAGGGAGTGCATGTATAGACCCAAGTTTTCTTGACCTCGGCACTAGTTTGAGATGAGTGGTCACCTTCAAGCCCTGGCCGCTTTACCCCCGGGAAAGAGCCCCTGAAAATTCTTGCCCCACCGGGATTCGACTCCGACTCCTCAGTCGTCCAGCCTGTAGCCAGTCGCTATTCCGGCCTTCGTCAACCTTTCGTGCCATCTTAAAAAAAAATTTATCACTGAAGCCCATTACAGAACAGCTGACACGAGGAAACCACGCGGCAACGCAATTTTGAGAAGACTGGCATGCTCCGTTGCCTGGAAGTCGAGTTTCTCAGTCTTTCCGCGAGTTGCGTTGCCGTTTGCTCACTTTGCGCTGCTCCATTCAGTAGCATGTGTTCAACTCAGGCTGATAAGTTATAGATATACTTTCTGGTAAACTAACAAGTTCGAAGATGAACCATAACTATCACCAAACGACCGACATTGCTCCTGTCACATCATGTGATGTGGAACGAAGTTTTTCCAAATACAAAATTATCCTCAGTAACAATCGGCGATCTTGCAAAATTGAAAATTTGAAATTGCATGTAGTTATAAATTGCAATTATAACAGCGAAAATTGAGGCTTGAATAACTTGTGTTTCAAAAACATTGAAAACTGAGATCCGAATAAGCTTGTGTTCTTTTAAACTGTGCTTTTAAATAACAGAGTTAAGTTAATGTTTATATCATGTGCGCCAGTGTTTGTCTAGAATTTGAACGCAAATATCAGTATTAAAAAGAAAACAAGAATGTGCCTAACTGCAAAAAGCTCGTCTAGTTGATTTTTACGGTCTTCGAGGAAACGCTTTGTGGATTCGAGGAACATCTTCCTGCTAAGCGCTTGGTCTTCCCGCTCCGTTTCGATGCAGAACACTATCAGTTTCTCGAAATTGCTTTAACCACGTCGGGTAGCTTTGTCTGAAGGTGGAGCTTTTCCATATTGAGTTCTGTAACGACGTTGCGTTTTAATAAGGGACTGTGTTTCGAAAAACTAAAGTATGCACATGTAACAGTCGCCATTTAGAGGTATGACGTCATATTCTCTCCCAGACATAAACACTGGGAGTATACCATTACCAAATAAAACTCTTTTGAGCTACACTTTCTTATTCTATAAGCAGTCTTATTTTGTATTTTTCCGGTTTGAAATTTATAGGCCACGGAAACTCCAACAATAATTTAGAATCACATTGTACGAGTATATCCCCCGAGGAACTAGGATAGCTCAGTTAGTGTAGCGACTAAGCTACTCGCTGGTCAATCCAGCAGGATCAATAGACTATTCTGTGCTTCACAGTCTCAGTATCGGCTCTGGGGCCCAATGACGGTAGGGGATAAAACGGCCGGGGCGTGACGCTGACGATGTAGTGTCGAGGTTAAGAATGGTGGAGCTATAACTTAACTTCCCCGTACATCATGGCCTGATGCTTAATTAATGAAATATGGTGATAACTTTAGCTTGTACACAGAGAAATATTTATTCCTGCAATTTGTCATAAGGATAAGGAAGAGTCATTGTGAATCAGTTTAACCATATTCACGTTTCACGTCGCATTGCCCACGGAGCCACACTAACATCAGAATGGAATCCGTGGACACATTACTGTCGCCGCTTACTCGTCTGCTGTCTCATTCACGGCATACAAAATGATTTCATTACATCCGACTCTTAATGCTTTCTCTGAACTGATATTTTGTATTGTTAAGAAGATCATAAGCCATTCGTCGCTCAAAGAGTAACAGCAATAGTTTTAAACCTTTAAACCACACCTAATTTAAGAAGTTCTGCATTTTGCCCACAGAATCTATGAGTAATTACATTTGATTCTGACAATAAACAGCGATTATACCCTTAAACACACTTAACAAATCTCTNAAAGAGGACTGCATATAGGATATTGATGGGGAAGAAGAAGGAAAGAGACCACTAGGAATACCAAGGCGTAGGTGGGTGGACAATATTAGGATGGATCTTAGACAGGATGGGGTGGTATGGACTGGATCAGTCAGGGGAGGGACCACTGGGAGGCTCTTATGAGCACAGTAATGAATCTTGGGGTTCATAAACTGATGGGTAGTTTTAGCAGCTACTCACTTGGTGGCTTCTCAAGAAGGGCTCAGCTCCACGAAGTTAGTTAAAAGTGTGTGTGTGTGTGTGTTCTCAGGCGGAGACTGAATTGTTAAATAATAGCTTAGTGAGTAGCTAACGGGTGACCGAGGATTCGGGATTTGACTCCCGGCAGAGGAAAGAGTTTCTCTTCCTCTCAGCATCCAATTTAGTTATGGGGGCCGGTCCAGCTTCCTATCCAATATCTGCCAGGTGCCCTTTCTCAGAGGGTAAAGCAGGCCTAGGCTGAATGCTAACCACCCACTTCCATCTAGTGCCGAGGTTCAGAATACGTTGAGCTATACCTCCATTACCTGTAATCTACATGACAGTTTAATTAAACACAGGGCCATTTCCCCGTTTCTTTCACATCCTTCTGTTTTATTTGTTCCATCGTTTTTTTCTTTTTAATTTATCCGATATTTTCTATTCATTATTCCCCTTTTCTCATTCCTTTCTTCTTCTTCTTTTGTACTGTCCTGCCCGTTCTCAACAGGATTCGCAGAGGATTTGGTCGGGTCCATTAAGGTAAAGGTTGTAGGGTGTGTGGGGGTTAAAACGGAACCTTAGTTACACTGCGTCACCTTCCCTCCATCCCATCAGCAACGCAGCTTCAGCCGCTGCCAGATACTTCGCGACAGACTTCTCACGTTTATTCCAGTTGCTGGATACCTTCTGCCACTCACTTTACATCCAATCGTCCGTGCTTGCGTGATGGTGTCGCCACTCGAAAGTATGCGCGCCATGGGTAATTCGTTTCAACTACGAGACGAACATGTCAGCATCTTGATTAACGCGTTCTGTCAAGGCAAGCAACATGATTACGAATTGAAGGTTGTTCGTGCGGGGTATAAATAGAATAGTAAACGTCTTCCTCGTCTGTAGCATTCAGTGGTGGTGGTTAATGAGACGGTGAGTGTAAGTAAATTGTGAGCACATGGAATTAAACATAACTCAGCTATTGTATTTAAGCACTCTGTTGCATTAATATATAATTTATTTCACACGTAGTTCCGTCTTAAAATGCAACTTATTCTCTACTCACATTTCATCATCACTATATGTTTCGACAGTATACGGTCATCATCAGTTGTCTTCTACCTTGCTACAATTGTTGACTGTGTGTCAAAATTACGTATCGCGCGTGAACACGATATTTCCTAATTCAAATAAATTTAACTTCATCCCAGTGTTTTCCTTGTGGTCGTCGTCCATTCGCTTGAAAGATATTTGCTTGAGTGGCTCTCGTATTGGATTAATTCGCGCAGAGCAAATAACACGAGTTAAGTACGACAATCAATACTTAGAAACCAAAAACAACAAAATAACTCCGTGGCCTGTAGTCCGCAAGCGACCTATACCGACCGAGCAACCACCGCTTGTCGGCGAAGTTAGTGCCAACTATTTGCGGACAGAGGGTGTGGCATGATCAGCACAACGGATCTCCACGGCCGTTAACCTCGGTTTTCTAGACCGGAGCCGCTATTTTCTTGAAATAGCTCCTCAATAATCCTCACGAGGCTGAGTGGACCCCGTTCTAGACCCACTACTTCTCAGAAAATCTAGTAACGCCGGGAATCTAACCCGAGACCTCTGGATCTGCAGCCAGGAACTCTGACCACTATACCACAAAGGCGGGCATAAAATTATATAACGCAACACATTACAGGTAATACCCCCGCCGCAGAGGGAATGCTGCGCAAATAAACCAGAAGGAGAAACATTCAAGCAAATATATTTTAGACAAATGGACGACGACCTCAAGGAAAACATTAGAATGATAATTAACTTTAATTAAAGTTAA